GAAGGTTTTATATTATGTAGTTTATTAGAGGCAAGGCTAGACCAGAAAGACTGCCAGCTGGTGAAGAGGAAGGTAGTAGTCAGATGGAATAGTTGGTCCTGAATTTTGCAGACAAGAGGGTTGTTTGGCTATAGTTCATGGAGCTGGTGAAAACTGTGAAGGATGAAGAAAGGAGGGAAGGCATCCATTCTAATGCAAAGAAGATTGAATACAATGCTGTTGTAAGGATACTGGATTCAGGTGGAAGTGGAAAGTTGAAAGTATAGGAAGGAGAAATTACAGCAAAACCAGTACCAGAGAGGGATTTAGAGCCATCCTACAAATGTGAGTACTGGAGAAGTGAGTTGAGGTACGTTAAGAAAATGAGTAAGGCCAGAAGAGGGGGTCCGATTTTAGTGTATCAGGGAAAACTTAGGAGCAGATATTGGAGGATGCTTTAAGCCAAGGTGGGTATTTGTGGATAGATTTTATTTATTTTTTTATTTATTTATTTATTTTTTTTTCATTATTATTATTATTATTTTTTTGCTCTGTTCTCTATCTATCTGGATAGGGAAAGGAGTAGGTAGTCGTGGAGAAGAGGTAAAGGTAGGAAGTAGGAACTGAGGGACAGTTTAGTGAGAGAAAATTGATGAAAATGTGCATAGCTCCAAAGAGAGAGAAGGGCAAGGCCTCAACAGGGAAAGCAGGTCTGACTCAACATATAGCCTCTCAACCAGAGAGGATCAGAAGGCACCTTGGGCTAAGTTTAGTGGTGGATAGTATCAAGGTGAGTAAGAAGAGAAGTAGAGGCAGAGGAATAGATATGACAGCCATAGTCGAGAGTGGAGAGGATCAGCAAAGTATGGAGGAGAGTTTGAACCTAAAATGCCGAGATACATGTGAGAGAGTCTGTAGGAGTTGGAGGTGGCAGCGGGATTTGTTTTTGAAGTAAATAACCAAAAGAAAACCAAAATTCTTAATTCTTAATCAACATACCTAGCAATGTTTGAATTGCTGCTTTCAAGGCTCATGTGTGTGGGAAAAAGAAATAAATTCCATTTTTCCCATTTCTTTTGTACTTTTCATACCTATAACTCTCTATATATTACCCATAAATAATATATCTTTGCAGTTTGAGAAGTAGGATAATATTGGAGCACAGGGCTTCTAACCTTCAAAGAACTTAATACCTTTGTTATTTGTTAATAAGTTTGTCATTTAATCCCTAGCCTT